AAGGTATATATATTTATTTAGTTTAACCGAGAGATTTTTGAATTTCAAAGGATAACCAATAAAGAAAATTTCATTGGATTACAGAGATTGATGAATTTTCAGAATTGAAACAAGAAACAACAGAGACCACATCACGATTAGTTGCTTTAAAATGTAAAAAATGTCGGTAAGTAATTCTGTGTTTTCAAATTAACATTATTGTTTTAAGAAATAAGATTTTTTTAAATACTGTATAATTCATTAATCACATTAATAAATTATTATTTAATTATGTTAATATGGTCCGGTGCAAAAATGTTGATACACGACAACTAAAAATACGACAACTAAAAATTTACATATTCTATATATAAAAGTTTTGATATTTAAACTATTTAATTATAATTTTTTTTATATCAAATAAGGTAGGTTTTAAGTTATCTTTTAATATATTTTTTATTATACTTTTGTAGACATTTTTCTGAGTAATCTATATATTAAAAAAAATAACTTTTTTTCAAAAAAAAAGCATTCTTTTTAGAAAAAAATTATTTTCGCCACCAATATACACTTTTAGAAGTCTGTAATATGCAAGTACATTGCCATGTATATGCTGAATATACAGTTTAAATTTTAGCTTAATTGGATTACTAGTTGTTGATATATGAATTTTTAAAGTTAAAAACTAATTTACTATATTTAATAAATTTTCTATAGTAAATTTTGTATTATAGCATTAAATTTTAAAAATTTACATTTCAACAACTACTGATCCTATTAAGCTAAAATTTTAAATATATATTCAACATATATATGGCAATGCATTTGATTAATATAAACCTTTATAGTTGTATATTAGTGGCGAAAATGATTTTTTTCTAAAAAGAATATTTTTTTTGAAAAAAATGATTTTTTTTAAAAAATTATTACTCAATAAAATGTCTACAATAAAATACTAAAAAATTTATTAAAAGATAGCCCAAAACCTACTTTATTTAGTATAAAAAAATTGTAATTAAATAATTTAAATATAAAAATTTTTATATATAAAAAGTATAAATTTTTTAGTTATCATGTATCTACATTTTTGCACCAGACCATATTAATTAAAATATTTTCCCCAAAAGACGTACATTAATATCAACAGAAAATTTTGTTGCGCATACCCAAGGATCAGGTCAAAATGCATTTTCATATAAAAAACGGGATAATTCATATTCATCAACTTCTAAATCATTATGTTCATCATATTTTGTTGAACCGTTGGATTGGATACTTGAAGGAGAGAAACAAAATGATAAGGAAGAAGGCGAATTAGATGGAAAAATTAAGTGTCCAAAATGCAATGCAAAATTGGGAAATTATAATTGGGCAGGTAAGAAATGAATTATTCACAAATTATTTTTGTTTAAACATAATTTTTTTCACAATACACAATAATTGATAGGGATGCAATGTTCTTGCGGCACATGGATAACACCGTCATTTGCTATTCATCGTGAAAAAGTTGATGAAGTTTATTAGTAATTATTTAAATAATCATTGTAGCTTATGTTGGGTTTTAATGTTTAGGGTTAAGTTAAAACTTTTATTAATAAATAAGTATATGTGAATTTAATAAGTATTATCCTTTAAACTGTTTCAAATTTGTTCTGAATTTAATTATGGAAATGGTTTTGATCAAATTGTTTGAAAAATTAATACATTTAAAAAAATTTTTTCTAGTATTTTGAAAACAAGGATTATATTTTTGCCTATAAGGTAAAATATGTAATCTTTTAAAAATTTTTTTATTAAGATAAATATTAGGTTTTAGATCTATACTATAGTTCTTAATACATTTTATACATACGCTATTTGTGATCTAGTTATAAAAATTAAAACTTGTATTAGAACCAAAAAGTTTTCTATCTTTGAAAATATATAAACTTTAAAAAAATTTTTATCAAAAATTATGTTAAAAATTTTTTTAAATTTAAAGCTTTAAATTTTTATTGCTTAAAAAATCTTAGAAAGTGATATAGTTAAAATTAATATTTAAAATTTTATTTTAACAATATTTCTAAAAATGCAAGAAATCGATTTAAACTGGGGATCCCAAATCCCAATTTCAGCATAATCATTGTTTGAAGTCTTAATTGTTGGGAATTTCTTACAACAGAGTTGCCACTAATTTAGTAAAATTCACAGTATAAGTATAAGTTAAATAATTTGTAGTTCCCAGGAATAGTTTTTGATCAGTAATTTACAAGGTCCATAATTAAGTTACTATAACGACGTACAGTACGTACGTACGTACGTACGTACGTAGATTCAAAATTGTAAAATAACGTACTGTACGTACGTGTGGCATATTTTGATCGGTATAATTTTTACCGATCGATAATAAATTATTTTAAAAAAAGCAATTTTTATTTATTTATTTATTTTTTTTTTATGCTATTCGGTTAGATACTTCATTTGTAATATTTTTTGAAGAGGTTTTATTAGTCGCGTTTTGTTAGAAACCTGCATTTGGTAAAAAGATGAATTTTCCTATTGGTATTACCATAAAAGTGTATATACAAGATCCCCAAAATACGTAGAAGACCCACCATAAATTAGACCCGGATGCAACCGCATTAATCAAAAGCGGTTTTTTTTTAAAATTAGTTAGACTCCTATTATAAAGTGTGTATGCACTTAATTTCACGGCATAATCTCTCAACGTGTACTAGACCCGGGGTCTACTAAAAGGTTTTAAAATTGGTGGAATGTAAGAGACCCGGAAAGTCCTTCTGGAAAGTCATCAGTTAAATTTGCATCGTACCTGGTATGGGTCACAATTTGGATAACCTTTACAAAACAATACTGGTCACAATTTGGATAACCTTTACAAAACAATACTTGTCTATCCATCCATTTTTAGCCTATCGATGGAATCTTTACAAGATTACCTGGGTTTTAAATTTAACATACAGACGTTTTTTTTTTTTTTAATTGACAAATAACGGTATAAAAAGCCTTCAATAAACAAACTTGAGTTTATGGTTATGTTTATCCGATTAACAATTCAATTCTTCAACTTTGACCAACTGAAAGGTATTAAGAACCTAATATTTAATTTAGGTTTTTATGTTGACTTGATGGGGTTGTAAAACGGCTGGACAACGATTATATTTTTTTTTTTTTTTTCAAATATTTATATAATACCTAATAACTTTTTTCAAAGGTCTGAAGTGAAAGAAACAAACTAATGTAATATTCGAAACACTTATTACAAAGAAAATAATAAAAAAAAGTTTATATATTTAAGATATTGCATTAAAATTTGACGTACGTACGTACGTTACATTTTTAATTGGTATAAATTTTAAACTCGGGTTCGTCAATTTTTAGTCGACGGTCATTTAAAAGTGACATCTAAACATGTACGTACGTACGTACGTACAAGGAATAACATGATTTATTAACAGATATTTCAGATTAATATCGTTTGTGCCACTAAAAGGAACAATATCAATCACCCTTTTTTGTTTTTCAGACAATTTAAGCACGGTTGTAATATCATACAGTAATTAGACAATTGCACTACGTTAAACCATTCTTTCAAAAAGGCAAGTTATTTTAAGAATTTAAAAATGGTTTTTTATTAAATATAAATTAGCCCATTTCTTAACGAAAATTATAATTTAAGCAATTTAAGCTAAATTGGAACTAGTATTTTTAAGTCTTCTTTTATTATGTGAAAAATATAATTGGATTTGTATAAATAAAAGATAACTTAGATTATCCGGCAGCTTACTATGATAGTGCTTGCCAAATAACTCGAGTTATTTGGCAGTGATTACGTCATCTGCCAAAT